AGAACAGAAACGGGAACATTTTGAGGAGCTGCACACAAAACCACCAGAAGTGAACAAAGGAAGAAAAAACCACATTGAATAATTACATGATGATGAGAAAAACCATCAGTGTTGTTCCACCACTCTCCAGTTAATTCACTGTGTAGTCACACTACCATTTTTCACCCTAATTCTGCACTCCATTTCATATCTACCATCTAAAGGAAACAGATCCACACCAAACGAGCATAAGGGCTCTCTGACCAAAGTTCCTCTACAATCATCATGTCACTTGGAGGGACGTTTAAGAGCATGTGGCATTTGCTACCTCTTAAGCATATTGTTCTAAGCAGGTGTTATATTTGTTAAACAGTGGATTTGCAGGGAGCAATAGTGAAGCACATCAGCATCTTAAGACAAGTGCCTTGAGTTGGTGAGAAGATCATACAAGGTAGTTCCACCCTCCACCTCTGTGAAAGAGGCAAGAAAGAACTCAATCACGTGCAGAGGGTATAAGAGAAATAACCTTTCATCTTTCTGATCAGAAGCCACTCCAGAAGCCTCAAGTTAACTGAAAGGGAGAGATGGTGAAAGGGCAAAGACGGGGCCAAGGTTTTGTCAATCATTAGCTGCTCATCGTTGGCAGGAAGAGAAGCAGCACAGGCATGGAAGCAGGCATGGACAGGCTGCTCCAGCTGCACCCCAGCATTTTCAGTTTAAAATTAAAAATGGCATTTCAAACTAACATCTGCTGCTTCCACATCACTTATTTTTCCCTCTTCAAAAATACCTTGAAAGAGAGAAGACCTCATAGCCAATACTGCCAGATTGCTCCCTCCTCTACTGTTGGGGTTGGTTTGTTGTTGTTTCAAATACCCTGCAAGTATCTTCTGAGTAAACATCAGTGCTCAGAGCCACGCTGCTCACAGCTGCCTCGTACACGGGACACCCAGGACATGGCTCTAATGACAGCAGTGTTACCACTGCAGCGTGGGAATGGAAACAGCTGTGAGCATCAACACATGAATACTCCTGATCAGGTCAGCCCTGCTGGGTGCCTCACAGCAACAGCTGGACTAGCTACAAGGCCACATACAGGAGCCATGAGGAAAAAAACCCACATTTTTTAACTGTAGAAGTTTTCTAGCATTTCTGGTGCCACCAGTGCTGCCCGTCCCCATCCCTGCTTCGTCTCTGCCTGCACACTATCACTGGGAAAACAACCTATTCTGTTAGGGTACAATCAAACTTCAAACCAGGGATAGAGCAGGCTGTAAAAATATCAGCGAGGTGTGGGATAGGACAGTTGTTCCATCACAGCAGCTTTAGAAATACCACAGCTATACATCTCCCAGCAGAAAGCACGTCCCAGTCAGCAGCCAAAATAAACCCAGGCTGCCTTGGAGAGGCTCCTTCTTCCTGCACTACACCTCTTCCTTTAAACTACAGCAAGCATTCATTCGTGTGGCCATGTAACAAACTGCTCAGGAATCAACAAACCCAGCCAGTGAGCTTCTGAAGGAAAAATAATCAAGTCATTTGAACAGCAAAGCACCAAAGTCGTACACATGCTAGCACAAACAACAGGAACACGGAAACACGTTCCTCACTTTTTTTCTCCAGAACTTCATTGTTTGTTTTGATGTGTGGTACTACGCTGTCTCGTGTTATTTCCCACAGTTCACAGCACAACGAATGCTTTTGCCCCTCAGCAGCTTGAGGCTGACTCAGGCTCGTGAGGCACTGGCTTGTTCTTTCCCTAAGAGCACCCAGTGAACAGCAGCGTTCAGTGAGCTGAACTGGCAGAAAACCAGTCACCTTCGTGCACTGTGAAGTTCCCTGCAGCTCTCCTCCAGCCCTGAGACAATCGGCACTGGGACCAGAGCCACACCTGTCCTTTCAGGGCTGGCTGCTACAGTTGCTACAGGACAAGCATGGGCATGGTGAGCTGAGAGGCACAGTCACACAGAGGAGAGAACAGAGACTTCTTCAAGACAGTTTTGCTCCCCTGAAACAACATATCCTGCAACTACAATGTCAGACATACTTGCTTTTCTTTCTCCACCCAGATTAATTCTCCAATACAAGTCAGACAGGTTCTATAGGTGCTTTGATTTTAGTGTTTGTTTTTTTTTTTAAAGGCGGCATGTTTGTAAGAAAACCTTTATAAAAGCAGAACTAAAAAGAAAAGACAGCAACAACACACCCTGGAGAGCGAAGGTAAGCAAAGACAAAGGAAGCTCTGAGTACACAAGTAATTTCCAAGTTGCATCAGCAGTGAAAGACGTCAGTCTGCTGCTGCAGCAAGAGAGAAGAGATGCCAGCGCTGCTGAACTGCACAGCAAGAAGGACAAAGATCCAGTAGGGACAACTTTGAGGAGTACTCTGTGCTTGCTGACATATGGACAAGACACAGGACAAACAAACATTCCTAACTAACAATTAAATAAGGATGCATTATCAGATTCTGTTTAATTAAGGAAAAAAAATCCCCCTGAATCAACTTAAAGGTGATTTCCAGACTGCAAAGGGAGATAAGGTCAAGACTAAACCCTCATCACTTCTATTCCTGCAAACACCATCATTTTGGAAGAAGATACTGCCTTTATTCCAGAACACGTTCCCACAATGCCTCCTTAATGAGACAAAGCTTTGGTGTCTTTTTTAAACAGTAATCTATTCCACAGTTGTTACACTAAGAGAAATTAAAGCAACTAAGTTTCTGAAGTGCTCAGCCTGTCCATGACCAGGCACATTTCCTTCACTCAGTCCAGGGAAACTTGGGAGCTCAGTCACAGAATCACAGAATAGTTGGGTTGGAAGGGATCTTGTCCACTTGCCCAGTCCACCTTAACCTCTGCCACAGGCAGGGACAGCTCCTCCCAATTCAGGCTGCCCAGGGCCCCATGCAGCCCAGCTTTAAGCATCCCCAGCTCTCTGAGCAGCAGTGCCAGGGCCTCACCACTCTCTAAGTAAAGAATTTCCTCTTAACGTTTGACCTAGATCACTCCTCTTTTAGTTTAAAGCCATTGCCCTTGTCCTATCAATATCTGCCATGTAAAAAGTTGCTCTCCCTCCCGTTTATAAGCTCCCTTCAAGTGTTGGAAGGTCACACTGAGGTCTCACCAGATCTTCCTGGAGAAAAGGGCTTTTCTCCAGGCTGGAAAAGCCCAGCTTCCTCAGCTCTTCAAGCCACAAGCTCTGCCAGCTTCCTACACTCCATAAGACTTGCTTTGAACCACGCTGTGCTCCGGGCTCAGGGAGGAAGCATCACCCTCCCTATACCGGTGTGCACAATGGCACCCAGGCAGTACCTGAGAGGGTGACGATGCCTCGTGGCTGGGGCTGGAAGCGCAGGTACTTGTTGCAGAAGGAGGCTGACTCAAGGGCCAGGAAGAGCACGTTGCCCAGGAAGTAGCCAGCTGTCTGTCCCACCGAGTTGCAGGTGGAGGCGTAGCCCACGTTCTCCCGGGACAGCATGGTGAGGGCCCAGCCATCCACAGCGATGTCCTGAGTGGCCGCCAGGAACTCGAAGATGAAGAAAGTCACGGTGAGGGCTACCACATCGGGGCCGTGGCCCTGCCCGTCGCCCAGCAGCACATCCACCTGCGTGGACAAGTAGATCATGAAGAGCCCCAGCACGTATTGCGTGGGCACCAGCCACGACTTGCGGCGGCCGAAGCGCCGCAGGTAAACGGCGTCCACCAGGGGGGCCCAGAGCAGCTTGAGACTGAAGGGCCAGAAGACGAAGCTGAAGAAGGCCTGCTCAGTGTAGCTGGCATTCTTGCTCTGCAGGATGAGCGGCACGCTGCCCGCCAGCCCCAGCGGGATGCCCTGCAACACGTACAGCGCCAGCAGCAGCAGCACGCTGCCCAGCTCCGCCCGGCAGCCCCGCGGGCCCCTCGCCGTCAGCGTCTCCGGCGGGAGCAGCGCCTCGGCCTCACCGCCCGCCGGGCCGTCCCCGCAGAGCGTCAGCGCGGGCGGCACCTCACTCCTTACGTCCAGGCAGTGATGGTGACTGCCAGGTCGGCGCTGCCGACCGCCCTCCTTGGCCGCGATGGCGGGCGACATGGTGCCGGGCCAGGCGCTGCGCGGCAACCCCAGACGGGAGCGGAGGCCGCGCCACCACCCTCCGCTGTGGAGAAGCCGCGCGCCGGCTCCGCCACGCCGGTACGTCCCACCCCTTCCGGTCATGCGGCGGCAGCGGGCAGGCGTGGCCGCGTCCCATTGGTGCGCGGCGGAGCCACTTCCGGCAGCGGCTCGTGCCGCCCGAGGACGCTGGACGACGTTTGTTTCGGTTCGGCCGCGATTGGTTCCGCCTTCCCGCTGGTGGCTGAGAGACCGGGCCGCTGCAGGGCTGGCTGCAAAGCCCTGAGCTGGAGCCAGCGGCTGGCGGACGGTGCGGAGCGAGTCCATGCCTGCGGCGCGGGTCTGTAAGGACCGAGCTGAGTCAGCGCTGCTTTACCCTGGTGTTTTTTTCGCCCCTTGCGCTGCTGATCGCCATCGCTGCTGAAACGCACCGCGCGCTGTGCTGAGATCCGCTGTTCAGTGTCCACGAGCGTTCAGCACGCAGCGATGAATGCCAATGGGTACCTTTTATTCCCCTACAAAACGTAAAGGAAGGGGGGAAGGTTCAACCCCAGCACCTGCCTTTAGTGCCGTGGGACAACGTAAAATAGGAGGCGTTACTTTTGGAGCAGCGTGAACTGCTGAGCTGTAGGTGTTTCTGTGCCAATGTAAAACGTAGACATTTAGTAAAAGCACACGTTATGCCGCGATCCGTAACAGAATCGTAGGACAGTTGGGTTGGAAGGGACCTCGCAGCCCCCCGCCCTGCCGTCAGCCGGCTGCACCCCGGGGTGCGCAGGGCCCGGCCAGCCTGTCCCGAGCACCGCCAAGACGGGTCAGGCCAGGGTCGGGACAGTCCGTAGATAGGACAGCCGCGCCCCGCCCGGCCAGCCGTACCACTGCCCACGCCCCTCCCCGGCTCCGAGCTCCGCCTCTTCCTGCCGGGGCGGCGCTGCCCGGCGCGGGGTGCTGGAGGCGGTTCCTCCCCGCGGCGGAGGCGCACACGGGCGGCCTTGGTTTGGCTCGGTTCTTTCTCCGCTCGGCTCCCGCGGCCGTCCCTATGGCGCTGTGCAACGGAGACGCCAAGGTCGGTGCGAGGCTCTGCGCTCGGCTCGGGCCGCTTTGTGCCGGGGGCGGCGGGCACATGGCGCGGCCTGGCCCCTGCCGTGCTCCGGCCCCGCTCGAAACGGCCGGGCCCGGGGCCGGCGGCGGCTCGGGCGGCCCCGCGGCGGTTCCCCGTTGGCTCGGTGGTGCGGGTGGGCGCCGAGCGGAGCGCTGGGGGACGGCCCGGCCCCAGGCCCGAACAAAGGGCTGCGGGGGCTGCCCGCCGCGGAGCCCCTCGGCCCGGCCCCGGAGCTGCGCCGCGGGCCGCCGGCCGCCGGAACCGAACCGCGCTCCTGGAGCGTCCGGTGAGCGGCCCGGGGCTGCTCCTCGACAGGGCACCGCGCTCTCCGGCCCGGCCGTGCGGCCTCCGGGGCCAGGTTGGGGCCGGGGGTTTCCTGCCCGTTGTGGGGTTTCCTTTGCGGGAAGCAAGCGCTTCTCTGCCGCGCGTCGAGAGAAAGAGGAGGACGCGTCCTTACGGCTGCTTAATTCTCGTATCGCAGGGGAGCGATTAATCTCGTAAAACCTTGGAGCGCCGGAGCGAGGTCCTGGCTGCGGCTCGTTGCGGTGCCGGTTGTGCTGCGGCCTCGCGGGGCCGTGATGGAGGTCCGTGGGTGTGCGGGCACTGCAGGGCGGGCTGCGGGGCTCTGCTTAGCGCCCCGTGTGCGGGCACCGGGGGCGAGGCGGGTTGTGTCCTTCATCGGGCACCTGAAGACAGGATCCGTGCTGGAGCTGCTCGTGGGATTGACGTTATTCTTATAGAACCGACGCTGTGTTTTCTAATGCTGAAAGCCAGCGGCAGCACCTTCTCCTTCCGGAGTTATGGGGTGATAGAACTGCAGCGATGGGCCGGCCACTGGTCTGGGGTTTATTGGGTTATTGGTTCTTCAGGTGTGGATGGCAGTAGGGATGTTTTGTGATCTGGTATGGTTTTCAGCAGGAGTCTCGTGACTCACTATAGCTCACTATAGCCTTTTTTCCCCCCATTTTTCTCTTAGGAAGTGTAACATCTGTTCTACTGCCCTAGCCTTGCTCTCCCGCATGTCAGAGCAGGTGCAGCTGTGTTCTGTGCCTTGAACCATCTTGCTTGCTTGTCCAACCAGGTTTAAGAGGCATTCTCCCAAACAGCCGTTTCTAGGGATTTGTTTTAGAAACAGACCAGCTCTGGTTATAACCCTGCTGTGAGGGGAAAAGAGCTTGGGTCAGAAACTAGAAGTGCCCACAAGGGCAGTGCTGCCCAACAGGCTTCATGTGCCCATTCCCATAGCAGCTGGGCTCCTCCTCCTCAGCGTCCTCCTGGCACTCATGTGATATGCACGTGTGTAAGGTGGACTGCCATGTTGGCTGCACGTTAACAGCATCCGCTTCATTTTTGATGCCACTAAATGGTGTTTGCCATGTTAAATTTGGATTCCAAATCTTGGTTCTGTGCCTTCAAGTAAATGAAGGCGGATCTTGTTTTGACTTCCTGCCTTGTGAGCCACGCAGGTGGTGCAGCACTCCCAGTGTGGGTACAGTTGTCTGTGAAGGTGCCTCTCCCCTGTTGTTGCACACGTGGTGCTGTGCCTTGTGCAGGAGTCAGGCAGCTGGCATCTGGAGGAGTTGTAAGGCCTTCATCCCAGGCATGTTGAGGGTATGCCTCAATGCGCTGCTCTTGCTGTGGAGAGCTGAAGAAAGGTACAGTTTCAGGCAAAGCACAGACCTGCTTGCCATTGAATCACAGCATGGCTGGGCTGGAAGGAACCTTAAAGATAAAGCCTCTGTCCCTGCAGCATGCTCTGAAGCCATATGGTTCAAGACTATTCGTAAGATCTCAGCTCTAGAAAGGGTTGTGTTTGCCACAAGATGGTAAGAATAAGGACATTGGTTGTTATTACGGGAGCTGTTAATTTATGACTTGCTAGGTGGGCATGCCCAGCAGCACTTTGGAGCAGTAGCTTGCCCCAGTCTCTGCTTGAGCAGGAGCTCCTCGTGCTGCCTGGCTCAGCACTGAGAAGTCATTAAGAGCTTCTCATCAGTTATCAGCTGAAGCAAGGAAATTAATAAGGACTCTAACCTGGATTTAGGCTTTTGAAGGATTTAGTACTGTTTT